AGCAGTACCAGTCGCCTGTCAGGGTCTACAAGTACCCGTTTGAGTTGGTTATGGCGGTGAGCAGATCTATATTTTTCCTCCTCCACACGTATCGGGCATCAATGTGGATTATTGATCGAGTAAAAACACATTGACGTCACGGAGAAAACCCTAGACAGTAGATAATTTGTCTTCTTCTTGCCACACACACACTATTCTGACTCTGAGCTAAATTTAGGTAAACGTCATTTGCATCTGGGTCAGATCTGATGATATAGTTGTCTGTACTATATTATCATTATTGTGTTTTCTACTTAATTTTGGCAACAATATTATTGGGCTACAACATATACAGTACATCAGTACAATACAATACAAGGCATAGAGAATTTGTTTAAATAAACAAGTAAACATAATATGCATTACATCTATCAGTACTCAGTGTAGGTTTTTCCAAAATAAATTTTTTCAGTAACATTAGCTGCTATAGTACTAGATTGGGAAATGTTGTATAATTTTTGACATGCCAGCTTTAACAGTTAATATTCATAATCCAACTGGGATGCCTATCCTCTTTCTGGAGAGCTGAAAGCATGCGAATGGTGTTGAATTCATGAATTAGCGAAATCATGAGCCAGCCTACTCATTATTTTGTTGTTTTGGGGTTACCTGAGGTCATGCCCCCCACACCATTTTCAATCACTGACACATACATGTAACCTTGGTATATATGAGTTGATGGTGAAGAATATTTCCTTAGAAGTTACGAGTACACCTTTGCTTCTGAATCATTCTTATCACTAGCTCTTGGCTCATTATCAGGGTTACTTTTTCCTCACCACACTTTCTCCAACGGATGTGGAACATTCTTCACTTGAGTTGAGAGGTGTGATGCCTGTAGCCTAAGGCAGATAGCATTTATGTGATTCACTGTACCCACCTGTACAGGATGGTACTGATTATATGGAGCGGAATGCACACAGTGCATCAACACACTGACATAAACAGAACAAACAGAACACTATCAGTGGAGAGATGGGGATAGTTGTCATATCTTGTAGCCAGATATTTACCAGTGCTAACTCCTGATAGTGAAACATGAGGAGAGTTTGAGACAGACAAGTGTCCCGTGACAGGCAGACTATCACACACTTGCTGACCTGTGACAGATCTGAGATAGCTGGGACTGGAATGTCAGTAATGTGGCCAGACAGGCAGTGGGGATGGAATGTACTTATATTAGTACTAATAGTATTCTGGATCACTTTCAAATTTGATAGCTTGGTTACTAACTTAGTGTCAATGTCCTCTTTTGTAAACTTTATACAGCTCTAAGTCTTTTCGTATACCATGGCACTAAATTGAAAGTTTGGGATTTTCTAGAATATTTTGGTCACCTCAGTGGTGAATGACAGCAGAAATAACACTTGTAGTTGTACTGTTGTTAAACAGTTGTAGTTGTATGTACATGTAGTTGCCTCAACTTGCCTGTTTGATTACAAAATGTACTAGTAATAGCTGTATGCCCTTCCAATGTGCAATACACATGTAGCATATAACGACTAGAAGAAAGGTTAAGATTGTCATATGCAAGAAATTATAAGTAAAAATAACCTCAAACCTCCCTCCCCCAGGCGTATGAGAGGCGCTTCCCGACGTGCCCGCAGATTCCAGTGTTCCTCGGCAGTGAGATTCTGCACGAGTTCAAGAGTGATGATGGCGCCATCCACGTCAAGGAGAGGAGGTGTAAACTCAATGTGGATGCTCCGTACATCCTCAAAAAGGTACGTAGGCACCCAGTCCAGCCTACTGGTGCTATTGGATTTGATTGATTGTCCAATTTATTGCTCACTTGATTTGAGTATGTGCTTGGCATAAAAAGAAAATTTCAGCAATGAATTATTTCTTTAAAATTGATTTTAATACTGTATGCACTTTTAAAACTTTTCAACTCTCAAGTCAGGGTGCATACGTCAAAGGGGATTTTCCACTGAATGTTTCAGCTGCCTTGGTCAGGTCTGATATAGGAGATGCATATGCGATTGGAGGAAATATAGTAATAGTCTAAATGCCATTAAAAAAGTTATAGCACTTCATGAAGCTGATCTGTCTGTCTTGTCCTGTTCAGATTGCTGGTGTGGAAGTGGTGTACTTCATTCAGAAAAACTCCCTGGACAGGAGGGAACGCACACTCAAGATAGAAGCTCACAATGAGAGCTTCGCATCTAGAGTGATCGTCAAAGAGAACTGTCTTTATTCTGTAAGTCAACCTACAAAATTATCTTTTTCTGATTTATTTTGTACCTGGACCATTTTATTACCTAGTTTGGGAAAAATTTAACATGTACCACATCTTTTCTAATTCAAAGACATTGGTTGTGAAAAGAGGTATTTTATGTGTTGTCCTAATTTGTGTGCTTTTTTTTCAGGTTCACCCAGAAAACTCAGAGTGGACGTGCTTTGAACAGTGCGCCAGTCTTGATGTTAAAAACTTCTTTGGTTTCGAGAGCACTGTGGAAAAAATAGCAATGAAGCAATACAGTCAAAACATAAAAAAGGTGAGACCTACAGTATTGTGTTCGTCCATTATGTTTTTAAAACAGGTAGGAAGAGTTAGAATTGTGAAAATTTCCAAATGATTAAAGTTATAATAAATAAAAGTAGTTAGTTTTCGTCATAAACAAGATCCCTCAATATTCATCTTGCACTATCAAGCTGTAAAATGATGTGATGGAAATGCAATGTTTACATTGTTTTACAGGGAAAAGAAATCATAGAATTTTTCATCAACGACCTGAGAAGCAATGGTGTAACGTACGTACCTCCATGGACCCCTCCCAACCCTGTCTCCCCAATCGAAGCCAAGCCCCAGAAGAAAGAGACGGAGCCGCCGGCATCGGCCACCGTCCTGAGCTCCCCCAGCAGCTGTGACAGCATCACCAGCAGCAGCAGCTACCACAGCGCCAACACAGCTGCACAGACACCCGTCTCACCTACAGTACCTGATATACCTGAGCTTCCTCCTGACGTCAGGATCGCCAGTGAAGGTAGGCGCGGAGTGAATGGGGTAGGACAGCAGCAGAACATACTGGGCCTGCACAAAACTTGTAATGTGCATAGAACTTTGTCAC